TAACAGCTTTATAGAAAATGACATTTGCAGCAAAATGCAAAAATTCCATATGAAAGCTGCACTCTTTACCTTAAAAGGCATTTTAGTTTTTGTCGATAGAACACTGATAAAAAAAAATCGATTTTTTTTGTCGAGTTGATCCGAATTTGTTGATCGCCGGTCACTTCAAGCGTTGTTTCTGGGAGAACGGTTCGTTCTACACAAAAAGTGCTAACTAACCATTTTTCTTGAATATTATCCCAGCTATATTTTTTATTTGAAATGTAATTTTTTTATGCCGTACAGATTATTGGTAAATCGATATTGTTCGTTCCCCTCCCTCTATAATAGGCGATTTAGGTGGGAGCCTGAGGATAGGCGTAGCAACCTTTTTTGCATCTTTTTGGGTTCTAAAATTGACATTCTCAGCATTCTCAGCTTGTTCGCATGATTTTCGTTTTTGTGTATTGTTGGTATATAGGAAATTTTTCATTCTTCTGAGACTTTTAATTTATTGATTCTGAATACAGACCTCTTAGTAAAGAGTATAGCTTATCTGTAGTAGTGTTTTATCAGTTCTTCTACTAGATTTTCTGAACATGGCGTTAGAGATTTATAAAGGATAAATAGGAATAAAGACATGACAAATTTCACGCACTCAAGGGGTAATTTATGTCATGGTCAATTGGACGTGAAGATGGATTTTGTTCTTTGACATATGACAAATAATGAGAGATGTGGTTTACTTCGATTTGTAATTACAGGGAAAGCATTTGGTAAGAGAGACGCGGGAAGACAATGTGTTTCCTGAGTATTTAACGTAATAACTGGAGTTATGACAACCACAGGTCTGCTTCGAGCAGCTGTAAACAAAGTAATAATTGTCATGGTGATTGATTGACAACATGACTGATAAGCATCACAAGAAGAAAAATAGATATGGTAAATCCAAGGAAGAGAATTTGTACACGATGTTAAAAAGATGTTAAGGCTTAGGTATAAAAATAAATATGGCTATTGTATGAAATATTTTAAATGTAACATAGTATTTACAAGTCACAACTAAATTTATTTCAAAATACACATATACTGTTATTAGATTTACAGTAACAAAAACAAAAAGAACTACGCACTTTAATTAACTCATTAATTCAAGCAATTATTCTAAATATTTAATACCTTATTAAACTTCTATTAGGGAGCGCCTATGGTACAGCTTCCTAAACGTTTGCTCTGAGAAAGCGACAAGCCCAAAATCTTCTCTAAATGTTAAAAAGAAGCGAACCAGATGAAAGTTGAATAATTTAAGGAAACTTTGACCTTATCGAACGCAAACATATCTTAACAAATGTGTAAAATAAACATAGCGATTTATTTTATCAACAATGTTGTCATGTTTTACGCTAAAAATAGTGAGTGTAAGTAAATAAAAATACACTTTACTTCCGGAAATACAATTGCATGAATTATGTCTTTGTTTTTTAGCTCACTTTCAATATGTTTCAACGCTAAAATATTTACATTCGTATTATTTAAATCATTATTTAATGAAATTACTTATTGCGCATTTTATTCGACTGCAGTAGATTCTTATTTTAAGTTATTTTAAGTTCAATAATCAAGCATATACTGTCACAAATATAATCTTGAACGTCGTCGTGATAGACAAAATTAAACGTCATAGAGGACTAGATCTCAAATAACACTCATGGTTCACACTCAAACAAAATTGACGCAGCGTACCTAATGTCAGTACAATAATAAGAAGACCGGGAAAAGAATTCCTGCTTATCCTTTACTCAGCTTGTAGCCTACAAGCTGCATAGTGTACGGTACCAGAAGAAGAAAAACAAGAATCGAAAGACAGGAAAAAGAAGCACTGCGCATCCTTGAAACAGCATGAAACCCACGCGCTGTGTACTATATATATTCACGGTATTAGAAGAAAAATAAGGATAGAAGGATGAGTTGAGGAAGAACCACTAAAAATGTTTGAAAGAAAAATATTAAGAATGCTTTTGAGTGTGAAAGCAATAAAGGAAAATAAGTCAGTGCATTGGATGAATCATTAAATAAATATAAGGATAAAGACAAACACGTAGTTAAGACATAAACCACAGATAATGGCATGGTCATCTAATAAGGAACTATGATTCAGTCACTATGAACCCGACAACATGTCAAAGAAGTTCTCGTAGAAGAATGGAAACAATATCTATAGTGTATTTTTATGTATGAGAGAGTAATAAAACAATAAATTATGTATGCAAATCCTTAAACTGTTAATACGGGCGACTCAATGAAAAACAGATATTTGTCAACAAGTTTACAGAAATATATAGGAAAACAATTTTAAATTGAGTATGACCACCAGGTATAAAGGTTGGAGCAGAATAGAATACAATAGTTGTGAGGGTTACTAATTCCTAAATAAGGTTGCCAGTGTCGGAGTGATGGAGGTTAACAGGTACTAATGAATTTGCAAGAAATGTAAGATGTTTATTTTATTGGTTATATATATATATATATATATATATATATATATATATATATATATATATATATATATATATATATAACCAATAAAAGTTTAATAAGTACCTACCTATTTGCAAAATAAAGTTTAATTTTTAGATAAAATAAAACGTTTTATTTTATCTGAAATGAGTGCATTCCACGAAGTAAGGGTTTCAACAATCAAACATTTAATTCTTTAATTCCAGGAATCTACGACAGTAATTGACTAGATAATTACCTTCTAAACTTATTCCACAGAAAATGTGATAGTGGGTTTTTCCATTTTGTAGGAAGGTCCAAGTGGCGTATTCAAAATTCTTAACAGTTCACTAAAAGTAGGTACTTCAGTTGCAAGGTGCAGTTTATTGTGTATACTAGTGTTATGGAAAATTTGGAAGTGCCGTGTAAACGCCGAAAAATTGGTCCTTTAACAGTTAATGAAAAAACATTAATATTTAATTGTTTTAAATCATTTACAGACAAACGTTTATGTGAAAGTGTTGATGACACCGTTGAGTTAGTTAGCAGTACACTTGGTGTTGGGAAATCTACGATTTACAGAGTTATTAAAGAAGAGAAATGTGGTAGTTTTCAAATGCCACGTAATGCTCCAGGGAAACCAAAATTTCAAATAGAATATCATTTTAAAGAAGGACTTCGACGGAAAGTGCATGAATTCTTCTTTAGACAAGAATTTCCAACATTGGATAAAGTTCTTGTCTCAGTTCGAGATGATAAGGATTACCCAGAAATTATGGTTAATTAATCCATTAACGTTATGGAAACTTTTAAAATAAATGGATGAAACTGTTACGAATCAAAGGCACGCTTTTGTAAATAACTTATCTACTGGTTTAAACCCATAATCAGGAAAGGGACGCAGGCTGATAATAGTACACATTGGCAGTTCAGACGGTTTTGTTGAAGGTGGTTTATTAACTTTTGAATCAACTCGTACCGGTGACTACCATGAAGACATGAACGCTGATGTCTTTCAAGAATGGTTCGAACAAATGCTAGATCTTCTTCCTAAGAACTGTGTAATAGTAATGGATAATGCAAGTTATCACTCCAGACTTATAGGAGGACTGCCCACAACCAAGTGGTTAAAAAAAGACTTGCAGAATTGGCTGAGTTCAAAAAATATTACGTACCATCCCGGATCTATAAGAAAGGAACTTTATTCGTTGTGTGCCCTTCATAAAGAAAAATTTAAAAAATACGAAATTGATGAAATTGCCAAAAGTCGTGGAGTGACAGTACTTAGATCCCCACCATATCATTGTGAATTAAACCCGATTGAACTGGTATGGGCACAGATAAAGAGTGAAGTTTCAAGAAAAAATACCACTTTTAAACTTCATGATGTTAAACAGTTGTTTTTGGAGGCCGTAAATAATGTAAAACCTGAAAACTGGGAAAAGGCAGTAAATCACACTATTAAAGAAGAGGAAAAAATGTGGAAGCTGGACAATATTACTGATAAAATGATCGAGCCAGTTATTATAAATCTTGGTTCTGAAAGTTCATCTTCTAAATCTAATTTGGATTTGTAACAAGTAGCTGTAAGTTTTATATTAATATTTTTATTCACCTATTTACCATACCTTAGACGGTTTTAAAAACTCTTTTTCTCTTTTGTAATTTTTAAAATTTAAAAAAAATGTGAATTTTTTAAAACCCTTTTTAATGTAGGCCAGTCAGTTCTAATATAGTGTGTGATAAAAGAGGTCACTTTTGTTTACATACACATAACACTTTATAACACTGAAATAATTCATTTATTTTTTACAATTATTCAAAGTAATTTTTCAATTAATCTTGAGCATGCCCATGGAGTGGTCGGAGATACCAGTTAAAATTATGCTAATTACTCTCTCGTTCATAAAAATAAACTATAGTTCAGGAGAATATTCGAAATGTAATTGAAAGCATGCCTGGACGTTGTATCGCATATGTTTGCGAGTTAAAGGAGCTCATACACGCTATTAGTTTTGTTTTAAAATAATTTTTAGCAAGATTGTTATTTAAAAAAATCGAATTTTTCACATTTTCAATTTTTCTTTGTTTTTCACAAGAAGGTTTACAGTTAAGTAACAAAAAGCCTTAGATGTAATTAAATAAAAATAATAGAATCATAAAAAGAATTAGTTCAAAGCTACAAACATCTTTATAAGTGGCTCCTTCTTCGTTTTGGTCGGTGTATATTATAATTTACTAATTAATTTTAAGCACATTTACTGCGATACTGGTACTGCTTGAACCATGCAAAGACGTAAACTACAAATGCGATTTGTTTTTTAAGGAATTAGTCTGTTTTAGATAATCAAAACTATGAGTGCTGAGTGCTGGACTATAGCCTATAATCATATAAACTATATATATTCTAGAAACTATACTAGAAACTATATATAAACACGTTTAAAACACATGTTTAAAACACATGTTTAAAAATTTTAGAATATGATTGATCTAGTGACTTAAGATGATAAGTTGGTACTTACAAATTCACTATAAATGGATGTCTAATTTCTTTTAGGATGCTCTTTTCATTTTTAACATGTTCCACTTGTTTTAGTCTTATAACATCAGCAAGACATAATACTTTCATGGCGCCATATTCTTCGGTCTCTTTATTTTTGCATAAAAGAACTCTACCAAAAGTTCCAGTTCCTGAAACAAAACGAAATATGATGTATTTTGATGGATTTAAGATAGTTTATTTTGTTACATTTTATACATAATTCATATCATATCATTGAACGGGTAATGGCTTTAAGATGTACATTGATAGAATGGTTCTATAGACTAGAATAGCTAAATTAGCAAATATTTTTGGCGGATATTTTGTTCGACGAAAGTCGAGGAATATAATTTGTAGATAACATGTAAAATATTAAGTGATACGACTTAATAAAATATAGGTATAAACCAACATAGAACAAATAGATTAAATAAACTTGATATAAAAAAACAAATCACGGCTATATTAGCATTTACTGCCTTTTTCTATTGACAAATACTTTTGTCAAAAGATACAAAAAAAATTTGACAAGCATTGAGGTCTAGTCACTAGCAACTTCAACGTGGAGTCATATGTCGCAATGTTACCTAATCCATCGGTAACTCTATAATCTTAAATCATTATAACATAATTTTAAAACTAAATGTAATTAAACATCTGTTATCGGGTTTTTACCCACATATTTAATCTTGGTGGCTACATTCATGTACTCCTAGACACTGATGATAGAACATGGTTTCCGAAAACGTTTTGTCTTTTTAACTTAGCCCGTTTGGGACTAAAATATATACCTATTACAAAGGATTTTTAATTAAATTTTTAATACATGGTATACAGCCAACTACAGGAACGTAGATTCCTTGTGGATAATATTTAATTGTTTAAAATCATTTACAGACAAACGTTTATGTGAAAGTGTTAATGAGACCGTTGAGTTAGTTAGCAGTACACTTGGTGTTGGGAAATCTACGATTTACAGAGTTATTAAAGAAGAGAAATGTGGTAGTTTTCAAATGCCACGTAATGCTTCAGGGAAACCAAAATTTCAAATAGAATATCATTTTAAAGAACGACTTCGACGGAAAGTGCATAAATTCTTCTTTAGACAAGAATTTCTAACATTGAATAAAGTTCTTGTCTCAGTTCGAGATGATAAGGATTACCCAGAAATGAGTCGAAGTACGTTATGGAAACTTTTAAAAGAAATAGGCTTCCGCTGGAAAAATAATCCCAGAAAGTCTATTTTATTAGAAAGAAGCGATATTGTCATATGGAGAAGACATTTTCTAAGAACCATAAAGGAAATGAGAAACCAAAAAAGAAAAATATTTTATCTTGATGAAACATGGATCAACGAGGGTCATACACCAAATAAATTTTGGCAGGATGAAACTGTTACAAGTCAAAGGCACGCTTTTGTAAATAACTTATCTACTGGTTTAAACCCACCATCAGGAAAGGGACGCAGGCTGATAATAGTACACACTGGCAGTTCAGACGGTTTTGTTGAAGGTGGTTTATTAACTTTTGAATCAACTCGTACCGGTGACTACCATAAAGACATGAACGCTGATGTCTTTGAAGAATGGTTCGAACAAATGATAGATCTTCTTCCTAAGAACTGTGTATTAGTAATGGATAATGCAAGTTATCACTCCAGACTTATAGAAGGACTGCCCACAACCAAGTGGTTAAAAAAAGACTTGCAGAATTGGCTGAGTTCAAAAAATATTACGTACCATCCCGGATCTATAAGAAAGGAACTTTATTCGTTGTGTGCCCTTCATAAAGAAAAATTTAAAAATACGAAATTGATGAAATTGCCAAAAATCGTGGAATGACAGTACTTAGATCCCCACCATATCATTGTGAATTAAACCCGATTGAACTGGTATGGGCACAGATAAAGAGTGAAGTTTCAAAAAAAATACCACTTTTAAAATTCATGATGTTAAACAGTTGTTTTTGGAGGCCGTAAATAATGTAAAACCTAAAAACTGGGAAAAGGCAGTAAATCACACTATTAAAGAAGAGGAAAAAATGTGGAAGCTGGACAATATTACTGATAAAATGATCGAGCCTGTTATTATAAATCTTGGTTCTGAAAGTTCATCTTCTGAATCTGATTTGGATTTGTAACAAGTAGCTGTAAGTTTTATATTAATATTTTTATTCATCTATTTAACATACCTTAGACGAATTTAAAAACTCTTTTTCTCTTTTGTAATTTTTAAAAATTAAAAAAAATGTGAATTTTTTAAAACCCTTTTTAATGTAGGCCAGTCAGTTCTAATATAGTGTGTGATAAAAGATATACTTTTGTTTACATACACATAACACTTTATAACACTGAAATAATTCATTTATCTTTTAGATACAATTATTCAAAGTAATTTTTCAATTAATCTTGAGCACGCCCATGGAGTGGTCGGAGATACCAGTTAAAATTATGCTAATTACTCTCTCGTTCATAAAAATAAACTATAGTACAAGCTATGAATAATTCCAGGAAACTATTATCTAAATATGTATAGAAAACCATTTTATTTATGTGACATTTTTAAAAATGTGACAATATGCTCTTAATCCAGTAAATATGAATAGCATATGCATTTATAAGAAACCCACAAATATGCTGCATATATATGCATATGCATTTTGCATATAATCCAGTCTCTACTAATAACATAGAAATACACTAAACAAAATATACCTTACTATAATAAACCGTACTTTTTATGATATTACAGTGCATATACATATAGAAATGCAATTAAAAAAAGGTAACATATAGTAAACATCGAGAATCCCAAATCATTAAGGCTCAACACATTGACCCAACGTATCGTGTTATACAAACTAAAAAGTGATTATTTTAAAACATATAAAATGCCGTTAAAACTAAATATAGTAAAATACCCAAGCGTTGAAAGTAAAAGATCAACATAAAATTAAATTTGGAAAATGTTGTATCTGGAAGCTCAGCCAAAAAAATTAGAATCAATTATAGTTGCGTCATGTTTCACTTTGGAACATCCTTAGAACAATATTTCTCTGACAAACTGAAAAGCGCTTTCAAGTGTTTATAAATCATATAATAAAACGTGTAGGTATCTTATTTTCATGTTCACACTATTTTTAGTCTGTTTGATGGTTACATAGAGGTGTTTCTTTTTGAATCCGGATAGTGACTCAGATCTGTTGATCTGGCCCGAAGAGATCAAATATATTTTGTTGGTTTTGATAATTATTATTTAACAGCATGTTTAATTTGTTGTACTAAACTGATCAGTATGTTTTGGCGGATTTATATGTATGGCCCAGAAAAAATTTAAAAGCCAATATATGTACAAACAATTACAACTAAAATTAAGGCATATATCTCATCGGTTCAACAACCGATGTATATCCTGCTTAAAGAATTCTTGTGGCTATTGCTCTAATAAGTCTTTGATTGAATTTTGTACTTGAGAATTTGTTTATTTATGTTATTTCTATTTATTTGCTTTTCCTATTTTATCCCGAGAAGGAACAATTAAGAGATACTGGAAGCCACGACAAAATATACGTAAAACTAAGCTGATTTATTATTTTTTTTAAGGCACCCTGAGATTGTTTTTTTTTATATAATGTGATTTGCGACACTTAGATAATTAGTTAAATAAAGTAATTAAAGTAATTAAATAAATAAAAAGTAAGAAAAGGTTTAGTCAGGTTGACTAAACCTGGTCCAAAAAATGACAATGTGATATGTAGTTGTGTTTTAACTGTTTTGTTTCTTAAATGTTTAATGTTTTTTAATATTTTTATTGTACTAGCACACTGGAGGAAAATAACAAAAATGCACTTGTATTGTTTGAGTTTTCAAGCCACCATATAACACATACAATTTATTCCTTTTTTTTTGCTATAAAAAATCTTTAAAAAAGTTTTTCAACATGGAACTTTCAAATACCACTTTTGCCTGCAACCTCACACAACATTCGTCTGAAGATGTTAAAGAAATTTAACGAAATATAGCGAAGTCGTTGAAAAGAACACACTGGCTTTCATTATTCAGCTGCTAACCCAATTAACCTTACCATTATACTAATATATATATATATATATATATATATATATATATATATATAGTGATTGAGTATTATTTATTGAAACGTTATACTTATTTCTTGTATATTATCGTGAATAAAACGACAATTATTAGCTAATTTGATAATTGAACTTTTGAACGATATCTTTGAGGAAAAACCATATTAAGTTGTCATTAATAAATTGAATAGAACAAACAATTTAACTATAATTATATTTATAAAACTTTGTTTACTAAACATCTTTTTAGGCAACCCTATACCAGTGAATATATGATAAAATGTACTGTTAATTTAAAATTTTTTATTGTAATTTAATGCATTTCACTTGTGTAACCCACGGGCTAAAGAAAATTGCAGAAGAAATAAAAAATCTGTTTCCGTTGGTGAATGATATAAATTTTATGAAACGTTTTCGAAAAGCCTCCATTGAGGGAGCAATTATATATAGAGAAAAACCTGTTGTTTCTTTGTAACCCAAACCAGTTCGAATCGTTATAAAAAGAGACTACTGTAATAATATTATTTTTATTAATTTTAAAAATGTTATTTAAATTTTAAAAATACGGAAAACTTAGTATGAAGGTTCGCGCCAGTCTACTGTACCGCCTACTTTACCATTTTGTTTAAATATAGTCGTTAGCACATAATTGTTCCAGCAGATTCGGTAGTTAAAATAAACCACCTCTACAGCGAGTTTCCAAGTTTTCTGGTGATTTTGGACGAAACAGACAGCTTGGCTGAACGCCTTCTTTACTTTGTATGTTTAACATACTTTTTATTCTCGGAGATATAATATTAAAACAATCTCGAATGTATTGAGGTTATAGGGAAGGTCATTGTAAACAAAAAAATTTCAATCTTGCATCAAATAAAAATTATCTGTTTAAGTTGTTTTAGGGTTTTTCTTATTTATTAGTTAACATTTTGTGTTCCATCGTGAAACGATGAAACGACAACTTACTGGAGGCACATTGAAAAACAGACAGAGTTATGTCTACATAAAGAGAAGAATAAGAAGAAGAAGAATAAGAAGAAAAAGAAGAACATTTTGTGTC